GAGCCGGTCGGGGGCCAGCGTCCGCCAGGGGGCGCAGCGACAATGTGCTCTCTGGATTTTCCGTGAGAATCCACAGAACCGGCCGCTATTGCCGCCTGCTCTGGGGCTGTCCCCTCGACGTCACCCCAGGCTTCGCGGGTGTCCCCTCTCTCCCCCATCCTAAGCGGAGGAAGAAAAGCTGTGGTTCTGGGCAGCGACTCTGGGGAGACGCCTTCCCTCCCAGGAACCCCCGATGGCTCTGGCTCCGTAGGGAAGGAAAAGGGGGAGACTGGGGGTGGAGGTGGGGCTGTGGTCAGGGAAATCCCCGGTGGTGGGTTGGGGGTGAGCTGACTAAACAGAGCTTGGCCGTAAAGAGAAACCTGAAGAAGCCGTAGTTTGTGCTTATGGGCCGGAAGGTGCACACTAGTGGCCGTGTGTGTGTGTGTGTGTGTGTGTGTGTGTGTGTGTGTGTGTGTGTAAGTGGGACAACGCAGATGTGAGTGCGTGTGAGAATGCACACGAATGTGTTCTGAGTGTACACACTCATGTGTGTTTTCACGTACAGAAACTCCCCGGTTTAAGGAGGGATGTTAGATGCCTTTCTAAAGAATTTTGGAATTTGACTCAGGTCAGAGGGATCATCAAGTCCTCTTGTCACGGCCGCCACCTGGGGTAGTGTACCATCTTCTATGTGTCAGGAAGGGGGCGGCAATTACTGTGAGGAGAGACCCAGTTGACTGAGGAATAGAGAATGTCTGGGACTGTGTGTGGAGGTGGGTGAATGGGTGGATGAATGTGTGCATGGGGAGATTAAATATGCATATATGTGTCACTCTTGCCCTGTGTGCCTTGTGTCATCCAATGGTGTGTCATCCTGTGGTATGTGTCAAGCTGTGCGTGTCAGTAGGGGAGAGGTCTGAGCCAGCAGCCAAGGTAGTGTCAAGATGAACAAGGCCTGGAGTGTCTGAGTCTCTGAGAACTAGGCTCGGAGGAAGGGCCATGGAATAGATGTCAGGTGTTTGTGTGGTGGGGGAGGACTGGGAAGAGAAGGGCCGCTGGCTAAAGTGAACCCAGAATAGGAAACTTGTGCTTCCATGTTTTATTTTTAGATTTTTCTGCCAAGTTTCTGTCTTGCCCCAAACTCTGGTTCTTTCCATTCTGACCAGGCTGGGAGACTCCTCTGTTGTACACTTTTCTCTCCCCTCCCAGGGACTCCAATGCAGGTTCAAGGCCACGCTGGCCTTCTATTGAAGCAGTGGCTGCTGTTTCCTATACAGGACATGGGGGGCACTGCCAGCCTAGTTATCATGTCCCATCAGCACACACCGCTGGCCCCTGGCAGGAGGGTGGATTCCCTCCCGTTTTACAGAGGAAAAATTGGATTAGGTAGCTGTCCAAGGTCCACACAGCTGATAAATGATAGAGCCAGGCTGAAACCCAGACTATTTTGACTCAAAGCCCAGGCCTTTTTCACCTGACCAGCTGCTAGTGACTGTGATTCCTGCCTCCCTTTTGGATTCTCTCTTTTTCGCGTCTTTTGCCTTGAGGATGCTTTCTCACTGAGTAATGTATCTAAAGAGTTCCAAGTCCTAGAAATGACCAGGCTTCCCCTCCAAAGCAGGGAAATCACTCTAAGGAATAAATGCCTGATAGTTTAATTGATCTTCCTGGGGCATTTGCATTTTAAATGAGATATGTATTAACCTAAATGAAGCCTAACGGAGGTTACTTCTGAGGGGGTTGTTCTTCCAGGCCCTTTGCCCAGTGCAGAGTACCTGGCTCCTCTAAGAATTCAACCATGTGTATTGGCCCAGCATTCTCTGAGGGTCCAAAAACCAGTAGTCTCTGCAGAGGGCACCCAGCACAGATGGCTCAAGTAAATAGACAATGTACCATGGGCAGCTTTATCCTTTAGGAGTTTCTCCTCACTGGGGCCTGGGTCAAGTCTTTTGGCCCGGTGGATTGATAAAACCTCAATGGAGGTGGGAGGTGGGCCAGCAGAAAGGGAGACCCTGTCTGTGACCACTGTGACAAGCAGAGGTGGAAAGAGAGGAAAGAAGAAGCCAGCATTCCACCCACCAGGAATAGGAGGGAAGAGCAGGAGGGCTCCAGGTCTGGGTCACATTATGGATGACCTGGCCCAAATTTCTATTTGGATCAAATCATCACTCTGTCCATCATTCTCTGTTTCTTTCCTGAATCATCAACTTATCTCTCTACTGGATCATAGTCACCAGCATATAAATGTGCTGTAATATCTCCCATCTAAAAACCCCAAAACTTATTTGACTCCACACTGCCACCCAAGATTGCCTCATTTGTCTGTTTGTTTTTACAGCAAAACTAAAAAGGTTTACCTTAATCACTAACACCAACTTCTTTTCTTTATTTTCTCTTTCCACCCTAATCAGACCTTCGAACCTGCTCCTCCTCCTATCAAAACCATCCCTGACCTCTCGTTGCTCTATAGTCAACTCTCAGGGCTCATCTTGACTAACCTTTCAGGAGCAGCACCCTCCTTTTTGAAATATTCTGGAACACCATTCCTACCTCCTGGGCTGCTCACCTTCTGAGTCTCCTTATCTGGTTCCACCTTGTGTACCAATTTCTT